AAAGCTTTGAGCACTCTCAAATAGATGGAAGCATGCTTCTTGCTATGGAGTTGCAGCTTCTAGAAAGCTCCAGCCCTGGTTTAAGTGTTAGCTACCGAGGGACGTAAGTGGGGCGTGCAGACTGTGGATGAAATGAGATTCTAGTTCACATGAGTCTGCCACCTGTCCATTCTTGCAGGGAGTCTGGTGGAGTTTCGCTGTCGTGCTGTTAGTCAATGAGGCCCCCAGCTTCCTACAGCGCAGACTGCCAATTCCGTGCACCCGGCTGAAGACGGAGAATTAAGGGGGATTGAGAGGAGGCGGATGAAACTATAGAGAGGAAAAGGGTAGGGATGATGCAAAGGAAAGAAGTTAGGTGGAGGAACTTTTACTGTAAGTTTGAGTTTGGCAATGTTGCGAGCCGGAATGGGGGAACTCTCTCGCTCAGAACACTTTAGTATTTCGTTTTCATCGTTTTATGCGAGGGCTCTGCAGGATGACAGGATTCTCGTACCTCCCACTAGGAAATGTATGTGAATGCCAGCAGTAAACGGGACCACCATATATTTTCCACAAGAGCTAAGCTCAAACTTGGGAGCTTTATATAACAGGTTTTGCAGTGGAGTCGAAGGTATAGAAAGCGACACGAGCACTTCTTCAAGTGGCCAATCGCTGACCCTTGTGGATCGGTGGGCCGCACGGTGTCTAGCTAGCGGACTGTGGATGGATAGAATGTTCTGAACCCCTGGTCTTCCACGGTGGTGCGAGATGATTGTGTTGTCTTTATCCCTTGCCACATGTACTGGGCAGGCTAATGCCAACACGACACTAGCGCGACTGGGTGCAGAGGCACTTGGGTTCTTGGTAATGCCAGCTCAGATGTCAAGGGATCGCGATCCCCTGTGGCATTATGTTCACAGCAAAGTCGGAGGATGTCTTCTCCATCAGGCTCGGTGGTCGATTAGCTAGATGGCGCTGGTTACTGCTGAAGAGCAACCATCATTCGTCACACTCTTGGGCCGCCGGTCGAAATCCCGATGAAGGGAATCTCGGATGGGGGTGTGAGATTACGCAAGACCGGCGCCGCGTGTGTAAGCCGAAGGCCGCGGGGGTGGCGACGAAGGGGCGACGGACCGGGATGAGGAGCATCTTCACGTCGGGTGGGCGCGGTGGCGGGGGCTGCGTAGCTGGGGTAGTCCTGTGTGTGTGTGGTCGTGTGGTGTGTGTGTGGCGTCGGCTGAGCCAAGTTGGAGTGGGATTGGAGTAGAGTATCCATGTGTCTGCCGTTGCGGGATAGATAGCTGCTGCATGAGTCTAGGAGTATTTGCCTCGCATTGTTTGGTCCTTGCGTCGTCCGTCTGCTTCCTCTTGTCATGGTCGCCGATTCAGGCGCCCAGTACACATTTGGCGGGCTCGCGCATTCTGTTGTTAGTGTTGGCTGTCGCTGTCGTAAGGTGTGTGCTGTGGTATGTTGTGTGTTTGGTGGGTTATTGCCACCCGCAATGCAGCGTCATGGCTGACACGTCAAAGTGAGAGAGCCGTGTCTAGTCTGGCTCGCGGGCCTAGCGTCCCTCGTCCAGCCTCTCCCTCTATGTGTGTCCTCCGGCTCCGGACTACGTATGACGCTCCTGCTCGCTGTGCTCGGGTTCGGAGACCGTCAGCATTTCTTTGGCTCTGGCGGCCACACGAGGTCCTCCGCCGCCGCACGGCGGACGCGTTCGCGCGTCGTTGCGTGCGTGTCGCTCCGGTTCTCTGTCTATCGATGTAACTATTGTCTTGCTCCTCTCTCTCTTCCTCTTTCCTCTCATCCTCTTCTCTGTGGGAGCGGCGGTCCCTCTTGTGCCTGCGCCGTCCTCCCGCTCCTGCGGTCCTATCGACCAAACCGGTGCTAACGGCGCACGCATTGTGTTCTGTGGCGGCCGCCTGCGTCGGCTTGCACTGTCTCGAAGCAGGGGCGTCTGAGGCCAACCGTCGTCCTTTCATTCTCCGGCCGCACCTTACAAGCAGCGGGGCGTACTATCGGCGGAGGGCGCTACCACGCACTGCGGCTGTGTCGCGCACGTTTCTGTGTCTTGCAGTTTGCTTTGCTTGGGAAGCTAAGCAGGCTTTGTGCTGCCTTCTCTGTTGCTATTCTGGCGAGCTGGGTAATGCTGTTCCTCATTTGCTTCACCCTACCGTGGCGTGTTCTCGTTCCTCCCCCGCCTCGCCTCCCCTCTCTCTGGTGTGGCCACTCCCCTCGTGGCGCTAGTTGTTGCTGCAGGCTACGACAGGATTGGACGCTCGGAGTCTCGTTAGGCAGGGCTGGTTTCGGAGTACGATTTGAAATAGAATTGTCGCTGGGATTTGTACTGAAAGCCTGGGATCCGCTGCCGCCGTGTTTATGTGGATATTATTTAATGGCGCAGCTAGTGAGCATTCCAAGCGGGTTTGTAAAAATTCACGTGTAACGTATGCAGTGTAGTTCGGATGATCAGTAATGTCTGTGGGATGATAAGGCATGGCTGGGTTGTGGGGTACGGTGCATGTCAGGCAACAGAGAGCACACGAGGTTGTACAGTTAGGTGGAAGTCGCGGATGATATTGGTAGAATCCATTGAATTGGCGTAAATGATGCATTTGGTGTGGAGTGTGGTGGCGCATTACTGTCCCGATGGGCGTGTGTACAGGATTGCTGTTCTCGAAGGGCGGAGTGAGGGTACAGTGTGGACATGTGTGTGCACAATGAGTTTGAAATTTAGCATCCCGGGGGGGGGGGCACAGCAAAGCCTGTTGCAAACAGGCACTAGGGGGTATTAGTTAGGGACTTATCATCTTATTCCATACAGAATCTTAGTAAGCTCTTTAAAGCAGCCTTGGATCAGACGGACAATACTGCACTATCAAGCTACATTATAAAGAAGCGCTGCAACATAGGACATAAGTACCATGCTAATCCTCCTCGTGTCTGATCCGCTTGTGTTCTACCGTGACTTCAAACTGACCCGGAAACTAATGTGACATTTGTGAACATGACTCCCACCTGTCGAAGGGAGTGAGTGTCGCTGAGGTCGCTGTGTGGCGCTGAATTACAAATGCATGAAGTCAACATGGCCGCACGGCTGTTTAGCAGAAGGAAGAAACTGGACTCACCTCTCGACGCATTGCACAGTGGACGGTGATGATGACAAAACCTTGGACAGAGTCAAAGACGGCAAAGAGCACCTAGGGGAGACGAGAAACATTGTCTTTATTGCACATTGTTATATTGGTTCCCAAATATTTTTAAATCATGACACCCATACCTAGTGATTTCCCAGCCACCCCTCATATGTAACAGACACACCACTTTCCTACACACATGCCATTACAGTATTATATTAATATATATATCCTATTCTCAATCAAATAATAACCTGTTAGATGTTTCTGTGCAGATTTGCTGAATACCACACTTGCACAATGCATTTAAATGTAATGTATGTCTTTCTCTTTAAAAGTAAAATTCCAATTTAGGTTATCAAGGACATAAACACACACACACACGACAACATGGATTTATTCTGTTTTTCAGTTACATGTCTTAGTTGCTTAAAGTATTGAGGATGTTTGCTGACTAAAAAATGCTGTTTTCTCTCAAGATCTTTACCAAGGTTACTTTCCACCTTTGCCACATTTAACAGTCCCTGCAGAAGAGGCATGTAGCGTGGGATGGCTCACCACAAAAAAGCCATAAGCTTACGGCTGCTTCCATTGCACTGATTTTAGTTCTTTTGGCTGGAGGGTTCAGTTGACTAAAACTGTGTGGAGGGCTAAGACGTGTCAGCATCTGTTTGAGCTCTATTTACAGTGACAAATATTTCCATCAGTGTGGGAAAAACTCACAAAACGTGTTGAATTACCATGAACACCAGCGACCATGAGCTGTCATCGTTATTCTTGTGGTGTAGTGTGGTACAATTGCACATTTAAGCATTTAGTGTTTTGATATGGTGATTAGCTGGCTTTTTTCTATTTTGATCCTTTTGAAACAATTGAAAGGTGAAAAATGCTCAGTAAAAAGGATAAAAAGAGACACTCTTTAAGGCACCCCAGGGTGCTGTAGCACATGCTGCATTATTATATCTTGTATAACTGGCTTGTAATACTGTAGTGAAATGAGTCAGTTATCATTAGAGGAACACTGATATGAAAGGAAATGAGTCAGCCAAGTCAGGTTTATTCATAATAAATCACCACAGCCGCTCACTTTCATTCATAGACAGTGTTTTTACCCAGAATCCACAGTGCATACTACATTATTCCTTCCTTTATGTTTATTATATAGTCTTCTTTGCCCTATTCTCTATTTGAACACGGTATCAGTCAGGTTTAATCTTTTTTCCTTGAGACCAAATGTGATACAATGTCAAGAATAGAGGCTCCCTGAACTTTGCAGAAGACACTTTTTACACTTTTTAGATTCAGTGACTAAAATTTCAATATGACAAGGTCATAACACCCAAACCATTAACCATTTTCACCACGCCATAGGATGCGTCGTCATATTTGCCAGCATGGATGAGTCTATCTCTGCCATGCACCATTTTAAAACTGCCTTTCCATGGTGCATCGCAAGTGTACGTATGTATGTGTGCAAGTTACAGTAACTGAGCTTCTTGCCAGTGTTGTGTGATACATCACCTGGAAGAGTGTGGAGCGCCGGTCAGTTATGGCAAGCACTGCTGACATCCAGGTTAATGCTAACAAAGGAAGAACCACACAGGAGCTCCACAGAGAGGCCCTGTCAGAGACAGAAAAAGAGAGGCAGAGGCAGGGAGGGGTAGAGCAGGGGAAAGAAGGAGAAGGAACAAGGGATTCAGTCTCAAACTAGACCCGCCAGCTCTGGTAAGTCACATAACTCCACATGTCACACACCAAACACACAGACACACACACACACACACACACACACACACACACACAAATGCAGTCATATCATCAGTCATAGGTTCAATGGTGGGCAATTTGAAGCTGATTGGCATACTGAGGTTGGTATCAGACTTAATATTCTAACTGAGAAGTGGAAGATGATGTGTAATCATGTAGATAGTTATGAGACTGACAATTGCTCACAATTACATGGTTGATGCGCACTAAGTGCCATGCTGGTGGACTGTGTGAGACGATAGGCAGAGGGCCAACAGGGAGGGGGAAGACAGGCCATTGACAAGTTCTGACACTGGTGCTTCTGAAGAGTAAGTCTGTGTGCATCTGTAACTCTATGGAGTCAGACACCAATTTAAAATGTTCACGCTATTTGAGCACATATTCATGGTTTTATGACCATCAGTCTGACAGATGGACAGCTCTGTCTAGCTACGCTGAGAAATATGCACATCTCTTTAGAGATGCATGTCCAAAGGCAAACAATAAAAGAGAATATAGAGCAATAAAGCCAAAGCTGTGCTGTCCCCTTGTTAATGTGTATAGTTTCCAGCTGTTGTGGAATGTGGTTTTAACCATACAATATAGCTCAGTACAGTTACAGTAAAGGCCTACATTCAATGTGAAAACACATACTCTAATACTGCAAGTGTACCTCATCATACATAATAAGTGTTTTTTAATGAGCTGTTATATTTCAAAGTGCTACAAAGTCATTTGGGAGAAAAGAAATGTGGGGAAAGCTGGGAATTGCTTTGTCACAATTTGCAAATGGTGGTTGTCGCATTTTCAAATTAAATTCCCAAGTAATACTGTAGTCTTTAAAGCTTTATCAAGACACTTATGTATAAATAGATCAGGCTTACTATATAATAATAATACTAAGGAGAAGGATGGAGTGTGAAGCAGCATTTGCTGTGTCAGTGCATCATACTGAAATTACATAGCATGGACTGTTTGATTATGGTTTTCCACTAGGATTACTATTAGCAGATTATTTGAAGGACTTCCAACAAAACAGTATACTGCAAGCAGCAATAACAAGTGCGATATTGTGGTTATAAATGCCTATACCTAATAATAGACTCTATATGTATTCAGCAGATATGTAGGTGGATCTGAGATCAGCAAAGCCGCATGAAAAAAGTAAATAATTGCCCTGCGTGTTCCAAGTGACAACAAGAAAACTGATACAAACTTGTTACTGCAAATAGGCAACCGTATCCCATTAGCCATCAATCACAACGTCCAATCATGCGACAACACATCTGAGGACAGAGTTGCTGCTGCTTTAAAAAGAGTGTTCTTCCAAAATAAACACATAGCCATAATGAATGATTTGCACACGGACGTGGTTAAATATGCACAGGGTCTTTTGGAACAGTAAAATGAGAGGTGGGTCTTTCATTAATAGACTGACTGAACATGAAACCATGACAACGAAAACCTCTCACTAAGAGAGCAGTCTTAAAAAAGAAACTGGTCTTTGGTCTTTTTCTTGTTACACCTTCTAAAATGTCACCACCCAGTAGGAGATGTCGGTGGGGAGATACTTTAAGTTCAGAGAGTAGCACCTCGCACATAGAAACATGGTGTGGCAAATGCATACAAATGTACTATAACCATACATCTACCTCTGTCTCTTTAATCCCTTCTCAACATTGGTTTTTGGGATACTAATGTGATTTGCTTTGCTCTGAACTCTGAATGACCTCTTACAGCAGCACATTGTACATCAGATGCTTTTGTCGTCGCATTTGTTAGATAATGTGTCCAAGGAATATTCCAGTAATTTTGTATTGTACTTAATGATGGGAGATTTGTGAGAAGCAGAATACAACAAGAAGAATACAAGTTGATTTAAAGGCTTTGATATTCTGGGACTAAACGTTAAAAAAAAAACAAAAAGTTCCCAAAATGCAACTCAATCCAAAATTTGTCGTCTCCAAGCTCACGTCGAGATACGATGTCATTGTAATCATCTTGTTAGACCTGACAAAGCTCCCTCCAGAGCCACAAAAGACATTATAAAACTATTACAGGCTGTTTAGCACAATTAGGGAATTCATTTCTTCACCAATATCACAGACTTGCAGTAAAAAGGAAAAAAATACTCCATGCAAGATTTAGACACCAGCATCTCCGCTATATATATATATATATATATATATATATATATATATGTATTGTATTGTAATGTATTACTGACATTGCACTGCCCTGATGTGTTAAGCCTCTGCAATGGCGGGCTATAAACAAGTTAAAACAAACTTAAAAAAACGATGCACAAATACTGTTTGACACAGGTCAGGTTTGCTCAGCACGACCTGAGGAAATCCGCTTTGGATCAAAACATGCTCTCATTAAACAGTGGCGGCTTGCAGTGCAGGTGTTTTTGCCTTTCATTAGTTTGTTTTTGTATCCAGACGAGTCTGAATGTCATCCTGCATCATTACTGACAGCCAGAGATTAAAAGGATGGAGACAGAGAGAGAGAGAGAGAGAGAGAGAGAGAGAGAGAGGAAGATGGAGAGAGTATGTGGAAGAGAAAGAAACAGAGAGAGATAGAAAGATGAAGATGGACTAACATGGCACTGCTGGCAGTCGCGCTGGACAGAGCGGTGCTCGAGATCACGCCACACTTGGAGCATTTCAGGAGCAGTCGGCTCCGCGCCTCCGCTGGGACACTTTAGGTGCGCACACACACACACACGCCCACACACACACACACAGATATACACACAACCATGTGGAGAGGTGGAAGGGGGAGTGGGGTGGGGGATGTGTGGAAGCACAAGTTCCAGTGATGGCAACAGGTGAATGTGCACGTGTCACAGTTGCAAAAGAACCAAAGGAAAAGAAGAAAAAAAAGAACAGGAGAAAAAGTGGACACAAAAAAGAGAGGGAGGGGAAAAGAAAAGAAGGGAGAGGGGGAGGGAGAAAAGAAAGAAAGGCAAATTAAAAACCAGATCTTAAAAAGTAGCAGCAATGAATAACAGTCAGAATACAAAGATTGAATCAGAGCAAGTAGAGAGAAAGTGGGAGACGGACATTGTAATGTTACAGCAGAGTCATGTGGATTAACAGATTAACAGTGACACAGACAGGAAATACACCAATCATCTTATTCCACTGCCAGTATAATGCAGGTGTGTGTGTGTGTGTTATTTATGTGAACATGTGACTGTGCAGAATGAAGCTTTATCAGGGTGTAAGGGAAGGAAAAGACTCCTTCGGCTGTTTACTTACAGTTGACTACTCATACGGGGAGAAACAGTGTGTGTGTGTGTGTGTGTATATCGCAAGTGGAGAATGATGGGGCCATGCACGGGCTATGCTACATTAGTGTCCCATCACAGCTCATTGCCTTAGTGCCAGCCACATCCCCACGGCTTCATAAGGAAATACATTACGCTAATGACAGCCTGTCCTGTTAGCAACACTACCAACTACTGTGTGTGGGAGCGCTTCAATGGAAACTGTGTGCTTCTAAACGCATACTTCTGAGAATCGGAAATGGAATGTGCTTAATACTCGGCTAACGCCAAGGACTTTGCCTGTAGCAAAGAAGGGTACACCTGTTTGTGTGTGTGAGTATATATGTGTGAGATTGTGTAGGTGTGTTTGTACACATCAACTGGTTTAATCTCAGTTGCATCACCGGGTAACAAAAGCTAATCAACCCCCCGGAGAGCCAATCTGTACTGTTAACCCTTGCAGCGATACACAAATTATCAATTTCAATTTACGCAGCAGATAGACGTTGGAGGAAATGTAATGAGAGAGAGGAAAAAGGAGAGAAAATAATGGAATCAATAGTTATGGAAATGAAAACTCGGATTTGGCTGCGAGAGCTCATAGGATTAGTAAATGAATAACTGCTTTAATAGACGTAATGTTGTGTGCGGATGCATATGCATGCATGTCTGATATGTATGCATATATCAAGTGTGCATGTTTGCCGTGGAATAACAAAAATAATCACATAATCCCGGTGTTTACAGTGTGTAATTAGATTTCCATCTGCCATTGATTTTCATATCCTCTGTAGTCATCTATGTTACATAAAGGTGAGAAAACAAGGTGGAAACTGTATGTATGTGGAAGCGGTAGTGAAATGCTGATAGCAACACAACATAGCAGATGTCATTTTATTGCCAAAATTGGATTGTATCTTGTGATCATTGTTTTTTAGGGGCCCAGGTGCACAAGTATGTGTGTGTTCAGAGACCCCTGAAAGCAGTTCGAGTTAGTTGCCATGAAGATGTTGTCTCCCCAAGCTTGTGTCTGACAGAGGGTAAAGTGTATCTAATGCAGCAAAATTTGTAGTCAGTTCCAACCAAGAATTGAATGGATGGATGAGTAAGTGATGTGTGTGTTTTGTGGAGGGTGTGCGTTAACGTATTTTGTATGGAGATGTTGATGTAGGAAGTTAACTTACCCCGCTCGCTGCTTTTTAGACTTGTCTGAGATGCCGTCTCGAGACATGAGCTTGTTAAACACCACAATTCCGATGAGCATATTCACCTGAGAGAGACAGAGAGGAGAGTTTGATCAGGATTGCTGTAATAGATGGGTTGCCAACAGCGATTCAATCATACCCTATTCATAATAGTTTTCCTGCTGTTTTCTTTCTTACAGTTTCAGTTCATTGAAAATGACGTTTTAATTGTCCCAGAGACTCATGACTGAAAGCGACAGTGACTTTGCTGTCAAGGCTCCCAGGCGTACTTGCTCCTATGCAAGAGAAGCTTTAAGCTCATCTCAGTGACATTTCAGACAAAGCACACATAGATTTCTTAGCATACAGCTATTGCTTACAGTTCTGAAAACATTCGTCATAATGAAGAAGAAATGTCTAAAGAGGAAGCGGGACATAATTCCAACACTTTACACTACAACATCCCAGCTCTGTATACATGTTTGTGATCATTTTTAAACTGATGCTATGCTTTGACAACAAAGGCACATGTATTCATTTTTATTTATTAAGTTAAATCAAATCTAACCAGACTATGATATAACGATCTATTAATAAGGCCTGTTTTATACAACAGATACACATGCAACTTTACATTTGGCCAATCACTCAGAAATTTCATTAGCTAGAAATATTTTTCCTGCTCAGATTCAACAATGCTGATGTAAGAGAATTGATTGTTGCAGTAGTGCTTGGCAGCAGATTTTTTTTAATTGTGTCAAAACATTTCTTTTGGTCATACTGCTGAGCACTGTGTTGCAGTACAGCTTCCGGCCACTACTGGCAGGACTGAGCACTGTGTTGCTGGAAGAAGTTTAGCCAACTTTAAAAGGTACTTGTAAACAAAGGAAAGTTATGTTGACATTCTCACCAAAACCCCTTGTGTTTATCTTGGAGGTCAAACAAATATGTCCAATGTATTTCTTTTCCTATAAAGCCAATTAAAAACCATGTTTTACTTACTAACTAATTCTCCACTGCCTTTGTTGGTGCATTGCTGTACTTCTCTGCTTGTTACCACCACCAACTGTTGATCAGTGGAAGCAGCAGGGTGTGCATCCTTGCATGTGCATGTTCCATACAAACAGAACAGGGCCCAACCTAAAAGCACTGCATCAAAGCCTACCAGTGGTCAAAGACTCAGCAAGGTACTTTGAGATGTCAGGGCTATTAGTTGTATTAGTCTATCAAGCATAGCGCAAGTTTAGGCAGAGCACTGATGAACACCTGTATTTTTTGCAATATGCTTCACAATGATTGGCTCACTCACAGCTGGGTGGCTAGTAACATCCAATTATATCCATGCAGATGTGTAACACAGACATTATTATCACTGTTTATTCTCCTGATTATGCTCATACCAACGCTGTTTTTACCAATTTAATGTGTTCAAATCTACCTGTATAACCATTTGTTGTAAATGGTCAAGTTTTGACGTTTTCTTTGACAGAATTATACAAAACAGTCAACATACAGTAATTATGATCTCTCTAAGCTATGATTTTCCATTTGTGTTGACAAAAAAAAAAAATCACCCTGGTTTCTCTTACTAATGAGGAGCCCACAGCTAAGCCTGCCAAACATCTGGCCACAGTGACCCAGTGATAGAGATTCTATTAGACACACAGATCTGAGCCAGGGCTTGCCACATCAAGACCTTCCACTCTGAAATCCTGCCCATATGGGAGATTTTCTTTGCTGGCGACATGTTCCTTCTAATCCTGATTTCCTGACATTCATCCATATTCGTTCTTCCACCCTCTGTGGGTTTCTTTCTTTTGTGTCTCTGTTTGGTTATTGTATATCTGTTTGTGCTGTTTGGGTCAGCGGTGAGGTGGATTAGCAACAAATGACATTCCCGCTCTAGTGCCTATATATACTGTGCATGCAATGCATTCCTATTCTTATCAAAGAATCACTCAATGTCAGCCTGAATTCCTGCCTTCATCTGTCACCAAAAGCTTTGGCCCAGGCAGAAAAATGTTATAGATTCTATACACGGTTGCTAGAAATCTTAAAGAAAGAGCAGTGTAGTTGAGCAGTTAAAGTCTGACTTTGATGTGGTCAGTCTTTGAAGATTTTGCAGAATTCAGATTTTACGTGAAGCCTACTGCTTTGCTACATCTGGCAGCTTTTTTGCAATTTGCTAAAAACTCTCTCTCCCTCTCATTCTCTGATCCCCTTCCCTCTCATGTGTGTTGCTGCTGACAACTACCTAGGATGTGCCAGATTGTGAGAGCACTATTGTCATGCCAGTCATGTCTGGCCCTGGCTCTGTGAGTCAGCATCATCCTGCTCTGCTATTTGCCCAAGGCCAGGTTCATTAATTAGAGAAGAGTCCTGTGGGAAGGTCTGTGTTTCTCTGCCCGACGTCCCTCTCTCATTACAGCTGTTTGTTAGAGTGGGACCCCGGCAACAACACCGGGGACCATTACATAGCAGCTGGGGTGTGGAGTGTACATCGACATTGTGGAGGTAGAAAAGGTGGAAAGTTGGAAACAGTCCAAGAGACACCAGGCAGACACTGACACACATCATATGAGGATTACTGTGCTTTGATTTTACATGACAGCTGTGACCTTTGAGCTCTTATGCATACAGACACCAACCTTTCTTTTATTATAATGTGCGAGTCTTACTATTATAAGTTTATATATTAAACACCACTCTGATTTTTCTTTTGGACTATGTAACCTTTAAATAATAGTAGTATTGGAAGTTACTACATTATCATAATCATGAATATTCAGTGCTTAATAATCCCACCTTCCTTCACGTCCCTTGCTTGAAGAATGTATCAAACTGCCACTCTCTTGCCAGGAATTGACTTCAAATACATGCGTAATACTCTTCACACCTGAGACGCTGTCTGATCCATGCTTCCGTTCTGACATGTACTTTCCAGTAAGTGTGCGAGCAACAAAAAAGTAAGATATTCTAATGCAAGAGCAGACACACAAACACAGCAACTACAACAACAGCAGCAGTGGCAGCAATTAACAAACTTAAAGTTTAGTACCCCATCCAGATTTATTAAGCTTAGTGGTGGAAATATCCACCCAGGGATTCATTTAGGAGAAATTAGCTAATCCTAGAAACAGCCACATACAGCAGCACACAGCAACAGATGATTAAAACACCACTGAGATGCAATCAATGCACTCCATTTTGCTGTAGGACAATATAGAGCTGTATTTACTTGTAAATAAAAATGTCTGTTTTATGGGAATTGGCAAACACAAACAAAGGACACATCATTATAATGCTGGTGAACACTGTTAGACACATATTTATGTCTGAAAAGAAGTAATAAAAAAAAAGCTTTGCATGGGTACAGTGACTCATACTTTGAAAGTACACATAAGAGTGAGATATTTGGCTGCTGGGCTAGAATTCAGTCCAGGCATATGATGCATGGCTGGGAAACTGGAATATATTTTAGTTTTTCTGAGCTGACATTTTATACTCAAAGATCAAAGTGCTCATCTCATCATTTTGTCGTGGACACCCCGGGTCTGTGTGCTCACACGTGCATGTGGTAGCGAAGAGAAGAGGAAAATCCTCAGAGGTCCGCTCCAGCTGCTTTAAAGAGCTTAGCTCCGAGGCGAAATACAAAATATTTGTAGAATTACGCAATGTGACCATTGAGACAGGGAGTGAGGAAACCTCACCGACAGACAGCGTGTTGGACAGACTCACCAATACAATGACAGCAGCAGGCCCAACGAAGGCATAAAGCAGCCCGCCCTCCAAGGATAACCAGCAACTAGAGAAAAGAGAAAGTGTTTTAAGCACAGAACACAGCAAAACAGGATAAAATATCACTTCACCACATTCCGGTCTCACATTTCACTTGCTGTGAATGCCAAGTACTTAACCACAACAAGTACACAAGCAATTATGGATCACATTTACTCAAATTTCCTAAGTGAGGGACAAAGCAGTCATTTCTATGGGTGTGTAAGTGCCGGTTTCTGTAAATATCGCCCTCAGTGCCGAGCACATTTATTATGTATATTACCTAAAACATATCCTCAAACTGTAAATGCTTTTGTGAAATTTCGTTTGGTGTGAAAGCTATTGAGACTTAATGAGTTTAAATGTGTCCTCCAGTGATGTCATCAGAGCACACTAAAACTCCTCTGTTGTCTTAATTGCAGCTCAATAGAAAAGGGAGATGAAGAACACACAGCCCAAAAGCTAATATTCAGTCCTCGTATTAATTGAGATGTTAAGTAAAGTAAGAGAGAACACATTTGTAAACATCTTGTGAGATATGTTTTCACTGACTCAGTTACACCATTGGCTGGGTAACACAGCCCAACAGTAACTGGTAATAGTGCTGTTTAAATTAGCTGCTGTGCTGCTATGCAAACAAAACTTGCAAAACAAGCTTTACATATGCTGCACGGATGTCGAGAGGTCTTGAATATGAGTTTTGACTCAATATAAATTTAAACACATGCACTACGCTTTCCATCTGAGATTTAGAGGTTAAAAAATTGCTCAAAATCCCCTTTAGAACACGTAAAGTGGATAATCTTGTCACCTCAATGAGATTAATTTTTATTTCAAAGGTCCTGAAAACCTATTCTCTCAATCAGTTTCTAACTTGAGTGATGGAGTCTAATATAAACACATAACATTTTCTGGTTAAAACAGCTGTGGTTGTTTCACATGGGGGATTTAAGAAGTTATCTTTGTTGCTTATTAAGTCATGAATATTTAAAGTTAAACAGAAATACTTTTTAAACCTAGTTTTTAGGGGCTTTAATCTGTTTTCAATAGAATCTTGACAACCCCTCCAACAAATGTGAACATTGACTTGGACTTGCAGAATAGGAATAGGCAGTTATAGAAATTCGATGGATAGATGGATGCGAGTAAAACAGAATGCTTTGTTGACACAAAGAATGTGAAAAACACATTCAGAGTTTATACATTCAAACTGTTTATAGCAGAGCCTAGACTGAATGAATCAATGACCACCTCTGGTAAGTTATAAAATAGAATTGTATAATAATACAAATTTAGACCTTGGCTGGAAACCTTCGGGGGAAATGACAGACTATTTCAAACAGCAAAGGGGAAACTTGGGCATGCTTTGAATGGTAAGCAGGAAAGGCGGGGGCGATGGGTGGTTCTGTGCCTCCAGACCATCCAAACACAAATCAGAGGTAAAAACTGAGTGATGATGTCCAAATGGAATCAAGATTAGTGTAAGGGACAGGGCAGGGGGTCAGGAAGCAGTACTCACTAGCTGGCTGTGCCGTAACCTCTTGCTCTGGTGAAACCCACTGACACTGCTACAACTAGGGCTGGAAGACCTGCAGACAGAGAAAGATCAAAAAGGGTGAGACAAAGGATAAAAGGAAGCCTTAATGGGGACGATGAAGCATGTCTGCAAAATAAGATTCTCCAGTGTGAACGACTCCATATGGCTCTTCCTATTAAAATGCTAAGCAGCCATGCAATAGCATGTAACTTGTGCATATGTGATTGAAAGTGACTGAGTGCTCTGTAGGTAAAGCCCAAGTGCTCCCTGACACAAAGTCTAGCTGCAGGCATGAAAACTGGGCTTAGATCCCAGTTCACTGCATGGGATGGAAGCACTGATTTAGCATTTAAGTAGTGATGGGAGGAGTATTCAGATCATTTACTTCAGTACTTGAGTACCAATACTGCAAAGTAAAAAAACTAAGTAAAAGTCCAAAACAATAAAAAAAGTGTCATTCGTGAAATGTACTTTTTGTTCTTGTTCTTCCACTGTGCAGAGTGATGTATGTGCAGAGTTTGACACCAGAAGGATGTTTTTTACATTCATCTGCTGAAAGTAAAAAAGTTTAAAATGGACTTTATAGTGAAGTAGGAGACATCTTGTGTCCAGCAAAAAAACTTCAGAAATGAACAAAATGTACATATTCTTATCTTCTGGAATTTTTAATGAGGTAAAAGGAGTAGATACCTTGTTAAGCATAATGTGGGAATTATACGTTTTTTTGTGGGAATAAAATCAGACACACATTATTGTTCCAAGATGACTATTTGTCTGTATACACATGTCTGGAGGGGCTTTTTAAAGTATAAAAACAAAAAGCCCCTCCAAAAGGGTCACATGATGAATCTGACGGATCGTGATATGATAAATGGGAGAGGACAGAATAAAAAGTTCTGATACACAAATCTCTTTTGAACAGTTCTATGAAGCCGTGTGAGAGGTTTAGAAGGGAAATTTCTCCGTAGGTGAACAGCTAACAATTAATGAACATGGCAAGATGCCCCAACCACCTACTGAGGCTTTGGGCCTTTGTATTGTATTGTAAACGTGTTTTTAATGTAAAACCTTTGAAAAGGTTTGAAAAGAAGTAACCAGTTTCCTCTAGCCACTAAATAAATGTAGTGGAGTAAAAACTAGAACATTTTCCTCTAAAGTCTAAAGTAGCATAGAATGGAAATACTTCATTAAAGTACAAGTACCTCCCAATTATAGTTATTATGTACATTTAATCAAGCACCGTCCTTACTTTCCACCGCTGCATTTAAGGCCATTCTTGTGTACATTAACCCTGCCATAGGCGACCCACCCATGCAGCATGCCTGTGCGTGGGCGTGTGAGTAACACTCCAAGCATGTGAGACTAAAAAAGTTTGTAAAACAATGTGAGGTACAGCTTGAAGTGGTCAATAAGTCATGGATTAATTAGCTAAATCAAGCCATTTGTGTGTGTCTGCGTGTGTGTGTGTCTGTAAATGAGAGGGAAAGAGAGTGAGTGTCACAGAGCGCGTGCTAGGAAAGGAAGGAAATATGCTGGCCCCGTAATGAGCTTGGCTCTGAAATATTCATGTAATTAACAAAGCTGTGATTATGGCTGCAAATGAAAAGCAATTAGAAAAAGTCACATTAACATTAACAAATAAGATGGTGGGAAGCCAGGCTGGTCCACTAACCAGCATGCACAAAGTTTCAATTAGACAACAACAACATCAATCTAGCATTTATCGATATATAATACGGTAATCACGCACCTATACATAAGGCATACACACTTCACTGTTAATCTAACACAGATCCATTCACACCCCAAATCTCCTGTTTCCATGGCAACTGATTTCAATCACATAATTTGGGGGAGAAAATTGTGAAATGGATGCGAGGAGGATAAGCTGTTTGATCCCCTCCACTCTGCTACACTGTTTTGTGCATTTCATGTGCATTTGGAAGCGTATCAGATAATTCTATAGTTTCCACTGCACACCCAGCACACACACATACACAAACACGCTGTGTTTCAGTATCTCTCCCGATATCTGTGACTGTACAGCAATCTATACATTCTCCCCCCTCTGTATCAGGTAAGGGCATCAGTGACTTGTCAGATTAGTCTGGTGGGATCAATATCGAGTGAAATGAACAGACAGTGTGTGGTGATGGTGCTGGGGGGCTGTGGTTGTAATTTCTGTATCTTGCTATCTCAAAGCATCTTGCCACTGTTATGCAAATCTTATCATATGTTACATCCCTGGCGCTTGTTGCATCAGGTTGTAGAACACGGAGAGGACAGCATAATAGAGTGACACGGAAGGTGAATGCAACAGAGGTGAGAAAGAAGCGAGATTACCTTTACTCTGAATGTGTACTGTGACATGTTTTGTCAAGGCATGTAAAAGTGAATGTCTAGCTTTGGCTGTATTAAATAAGATAACATTAGACTCTGCATCTGAAGGTCATTAAAGTGTATGAAACATAGGATGAATGAGAAAGGAGCAAATGAAGGTTATTAAACATAATGCAGTCAACAATTTCAACACTACAACATAAAAATGCCTGTATTGCTGCTCTCCATCACCTATTCATGTCACACAACAGTGGTTCAATCAGCATCCAATTCATGAAAGTGCCTTCATTTTCTATGCTGGAAATCCTCTGGCACAGAAGGACAGTTTATATTTCCAGTAACAGCAAGAGCAGAAACTTACATTAGCAGCTAAGCGTAAACAATGAATGTTGATATGATCCTGAATAGTCTCTATCAAAATGCAGCGACTAAAGAAATTCAAGCCATTAACACACAATATGTTGGCACAAATGACTGACTGACATGTAATCCCTGGAAAAAACATCAGCAATATACCATACAAAGTACTTTATAGTAGGCTAGATGTTGATGGCTGAAGGTTGTTGAAAGACAAAATTATTGTATTACAAATGTCATTGTGTGTATGCACTCGGCATGCTCATATGCATTTTGCGTGCACAGGACTTCAATGCGGTGTTAATTTTGTCAGTTAAAACTATCACAATAAAAATGTGTTTAAAAAATAGCTTTTTTTAATGATGAAAACAAGACTAAAACTAAATAAAAAGTATCCTTTAAAAATAAAACTACAACCACAATCATTACAATTTTCATCTTCCAATAAAGACTAAACAATAAACAATGTAAAAGATGGACGAATGGACACAACTAATTATTGTTTTAGTGCAAAGTCTTGTGCATGTACTAAGTGTAGTGAACATAAAGGAACCCTGTATCATTGTAATTGGAAATGCAGTAAAATAATGGATTTTGGAAAGAAGTAAAACATATTATGGACAGAATCACTTCTCTAGAGGCCCCTTGTCCTAACATTTTAAATCTGTACCCATCTAACTTAAAACTAAGGAAGAAGGAATATACAGGTGCAGATATGTGTATCTTGCAAGCCAAACAGCTTATTGCTCTTTACTGGAAGAAAACAAATAGGCCAAGTATCAAAGAATGGGTCAATGAAATGGCATCATGTATGGTATTAGAGAAGATAACTTACATATTGGGTAATAAACAACATTTGTTTAAAGAAACCTCGAAACTTGAATGCTTCCATCTTCCAAACTAGTTTCCTCCACGATTACAAAAATTAATCCAAGGATGTGATTGGATTGTTTGATTTAAAATCAGTAGAGGAGGACATCAAAAGTAATATTGTAAGTAATTATTTTTTGGAGGAGTATTTGTAATATTATTACTGAAATGTATTAATAATTAGTTACACTACTAGTTACTGGGAAAACTAATATTATTAATGTAATACTATTACTGGTAATGAGTAACTGTTCAACCCTGCTGAAGAATCACACATAGTAACTAACATTACTCTTTAACCAATAATGAAGGAAAAGTAACACGGACTAAATATCTCCAGTCCTTCTCAAAATTAGATCAATGGCAAATTCATGCAATGTTCGCTATGATTGTTTGCAGTGATGTACAATCAAAATGCCAGGAGAGAGACAAATATTTAACAAAGACACACATATGAATTTAGCTGTGAAACGAATCTAAAAATGAATCAAAATCAGGTGCTAAAATGAACACAGCAGTCGTGTGTGTGTGTGTGTGGTGATGCGTGATAGTGTGGGAGCTCACCCCAGCCGAGGCACAGAAAACGCTTGCGAATGAGTCGTGACCTCAGTTTGCCAATGACGGCCAGGTAGGACTGCCACGCCTCTGTCAGCACCCAGCAGAAGGACGCCAAGAAGAAGAAATGCAGGAAGGCAGCAGTCACAGTACAGAGGCCCTGCAGTGAAAATAAAGGCAGATAGGGAGAGATAAAAGCGTTGGCGACGTTTTACAAAGAAATAAAGAAGATAGTTTCATGAGAGGTGTCATAATGAATCATCTCTTAGGACTATTCAGCAGAGGAAAGTGAAACCTCCACAAAACAAAGAGGACAAAGTGGAAAAAAGGGAGTCTGATGAAGCACATATTGTTTAGAAGAGTAGGAGTTCAACCTGGCTCGGCGGTTTTACTCATTTTGATCGATACTGACCACCACACGCTGCAGTCTTGCTTAGTCAGAGTACACAGTGTGCCAAAAAATGTCAGTGTGCCACTTTGATAACTCCACTGTATCAACTTGGTCTACCGTTGAGCCCAGTTTTGTTTCAAAGCATTATGAAAGGCTTGGTCAAGAGCACTGTTACTGGGATCATAAATGTGCTCATGAGGTTTACTGTGGAAATCAAGTTGCAGTGTGTGGGCATAGAATTCTCTCTATGTGTTTATCTGTGCACAGCGCCTTACCTTGCTAAGTGTTTGAGATTGTCCCACCAAAATCAATAAATTGGAGGCCAAGATGGAGAGGCAAAAATTCACTAAGATGATGGATCTTTCCGACCGTATGTACCTACAGAGCAGAGGACGAGAGTGGCAGAGAGAGAGAGAGAGAGAGGGGACAGACATGTGAGATAAGTATTAATGACAGATTGATGGGCTGTACAGAATCTTTTTGGACATTGCAGATTCATTTGCTCGATTTTACCATCTGCCATGTGTGTTAGCAAAATGTAATCACCACCCCCTGCTGTAGTTGAACCATTTGTTCCTTATTAGGCCTCACTGTAGTTTTGGCACAGCAGAGGACTCACACAAAATGCACTTTTATGTATTGTTAGGCGCCTGCATGGTGATCGAAATCACCGCCGTATTGTCTGTGAGTATACAGTCAGGCACGACACCATCAAGCATGTGTTTGCGCGTGTTACCTCCAGAAGGCAGCGTAGATTAGCAGCAGGATGAGCAGAGCTGTGCAGGAGACCCCACAGCCCACCATCAGGGGCACAGAGGGCATGCTGGCAGGACCCATGTCCTGAAAGAGAGGGTAAAGGAAGGAAAAAGGAGGGATAGAGAGGGGGAAATGGATGGTTAATAATTACCGCAAGGCATTTTTTCCACAGGTGTACTTTGCTTGACAAACCCTAATGTTTTGCTTTTGTTAACAAGTTACATCTTATTTTATTGTAACAAAAACAAAACAATATAACAAAAAAGGACACTGGTTATTTAAAGTCACTGGGAAATGGCATCTGCAGCTTGTCATGTTTATACTGGCTTCGAGACCATGCGTCATAGGGCTTTACATGGATCAGACACTGCTTGGCTTTGTTATTAGAATGCATGCATTTATACACTATATAGTGTTACTATTGGCTTACAGCAACACCTCTACAGACCTCCAACCCTCCTGGACATTAATTCTCCTTGTCTCTAATTTCACAGATGCATGAATATGACTGTCAAATGTAAGTCTGACTATTCTTTTTCTTAAATCAGGTTACCAAGGAAATAAATCCTAGTTTGAAATATATTTAAGGCTAAAGTACTAGATACTTAGCTGACCTTGTCAATGTAGTTTGCAGCAAGAGGATTTTCATTCTGATATGACAAAACCATAATCATGTTTTCTGTTTTGAAAAAAATGTAATAAAAAACTGAAAACAAAAGAACAACCCATCTGATTTTATTTGATGTGCTTATAAATGGAAATCTGGAATTAAAATATGTGTGTGGAAATCTCATTTCTCAATATTGTGTTTTTTGTTGTGCCGCTGGCTTTGAGGAGGAGCATCAATTTCAGAATGATGTGTATATTTACAAAAACCAATGAGGTATATCGCCACAAATACCAAATCTGGTGTGGTAATACTTGAAATATGCTATGTTTGAACTGTACAGTTGAATATAGGTCAAAAAAGATTTGCAAATCATTGCATTCTGTTTTTATTTACTGTTTACAAAGCCTCCTAACTAACGTGACGAGAGGCACCACAACATCTGATAAGACACAGTAATAAGTTGACACTGGACTTCTTTTATCTGATAAAATGTGTAATATATCTGATCTGACTGATCTTATTAAAGTTAATAACACTCAAAAAATTAGGGTAACAATTTGCATAGAGATTTCTATATAGAATAGAAGTAAAATACAAGGTTATAATAACTCAAGTAATTTGACCTCTCGTCCACCATGCTGCCACCATGCATCCCTCCTCTTTCGCTCTGCCCGATTGCAAAAAGATATGAATATGTCTGTTACTCATAAATCGGCTTTATTTTTCCCTATTACGCTATTGCCCCTATTGACCACAATGTCAAACTTTCTAGACAAAAAAACATTACTTGCAGCAAAATGACAGTAAAATGCACCCATTTTGCCAGATGCTTGTTTCTGACAAGACTGAAACAAGCCAGTATTTACCCATGACGACCCTGTGTTTAACGTAATAGCCAGTGTCATAGCCAGTGTCATACACAGGGTTAATGTGCAAAAAGGGTATAAGAGCTTAAAGCCAGATGGATGGACAGAAAAATAGATAGATTTAGATAGGGAGGGAGAGCAATAACTGATATAATTGAATTAATCCAGTCAGAGTCTTCGCTTGTATAGATTAAAGTAATTGTTTGCACTTACAGTATCTATTAACTCTTGTACTTCCTTAGCTGCAATCCCACTGGTAGCTCCTTTTAATTACATCCTGCTAATTACATGTAATTACCTTTAATTAAAATGACGAAGTCTGTCAGATGGAGCCGGATAATATCACATAATTACACCATTGTGTAACTTGTTGTTTGTTCGTATTTTGACGTATCTTGACCACTTTTCCGACGTCACCTACAGACCTTGTAATCATAATTATAGTTTCAATTTACCGTTATTTATTGCAGCACATGAATAATCATTCAGGTAACCAACCAACTGCCATGGTAGAGAATGTACACTGGGAGCCCTCTGAGCACCCATTCACACCCATTGTAAGAGTTCTCGTGTACAAGGTTAAAAGCACTAGACCATAGCGCATAATTAAGCGATTTAGGTCAGGATGTACAGCGCACCTCTGCTTTGACTCTCTCTCTTGAGGTGTGCCTATGAAAGGATGAGGAACAGACAAATGAAGCTGTGTGGAGAGCATACACCCCGCCGTGTCCCAAATGGGCTCTATGTTTGGCCTGCTTTTAAGTTCTCAATCACACAATTTACCCCAATTTACCTCCTAGAGTGGCTAGCCTTCCCTTTCATCCCAAAGATTCATCACTGTACACACACACACACACTGCACAAGGTTTTACTGCAAATAAAGTACATGCTCACACACAAAACCACGTTCAGGCAGATGAGCCAAGTAATTGAAAGTCAGTGTTTAAGCTGCGTGAATGTGTGTGTGTCTATTTAAGATGATCTGAAGGCTGAGGAGGAAAGCAAGAGAGCGCACATAAGAAAGGAATAAAGTATGCAAACTGAAAGGAAGGAGTAGGATAGAAATTCAGAGAGAGAGATGGAGTGGGAAGAGAAAGCAAAGAGTAGGAGGAGGAAGCAATAGAGAGATAGGGAGAAAAGAAAACGAGCGAGAGGCAAAGCTTCCCTTTTAGTGGTTTTCCCTGGCCCATCAAAGGAAGCCAATTTCTCCAGAGGAAAGTGGAATAGGCTGGAATACCAATATGAGCGCACACACAAACAAGCTGAGAGGAGAATGGAGGTGAAACATAATCAAAACCGCCTATAAGAAAGGAGAGACCCACAAAAAAATAAGAGAAAGTCTGGATATGACAAGCATCTGCTTCAGGAATAAAGGGAGGCCTACGAGGAGAGAGAGAGACAACAGAGACTCAGTGTGTTTGATATTATGCAGAGAGGAAGGTCAAAGGATACACAGGCATTTGTGTTTTTATGAAGTCTGACGGATCAAACATGGAGGATGCATGGGGAATGACAAGCACACGCACGCACACGCACACACACACACACACTTACACAAGCCTATTGAATTTCCTTTTCTCTCTCTGTCTCTTTTACTTTGTCTTAAATTAGCCTCTACCAGACATGTAATGGAATAAATTACACTCTTACTTGTAATTTACTTAATATACATCCACAAATTGTCCCCTCAGCTCTTCATTGCGTCAATTTGCTTAATTACTACGTTTGGGTTATATGTGCGTGATGAGATTAAGCGTCTAATTTCATAACGTGGAAGGATGCTGCAAAAGAGGAAATGGAAAAAGAAAAAAGGAAACACCCACACCATCAGACACACAAGTGCAACACATCAGGCCTGAGGCTACGGTGTACAAATGCCCTGCTCTAAATAGATAGAGTGATATTATGTTGCAGTTGGAGGGGATGTGTGCTTGTGTTGGGTGTGTATGTCTGTAGTATGTCTGTAGTATGTCTGTAGTATGTGTG